CCTGAGGGAAAGGCCTTGATGATCTTGACGTCGTCCAGGGGCCGGTCCTGGGCGTTGGTCTCCACCATGGCCAGACGGCCCAGCACCCCCAGGCCCTGGCAGACCCTCCCAAAGATGCTGTGCTTGCCATCCAGCCACTGGGCTTGGTGTCCGGCCCCGCGCTGGCCATGGCCAAGATGCCAGCACCTGGGATGGAGGGATGGAGGGATGGATGGAGAGATGGATGGAGGGATGGACACCATCAATGGGTTGATCTGATGGGGGTTCGAAGGGCTTTGAGGGGTTCTGAGCTGGTGTCATGGGAGATATGGCAGGTAATGATGGGGTTTTGGGGGACACACCAACCCATGGATGAGGGTCCAGCATCATAGAGGACGTGGCATCATGTGGGTTGGGTCCTGGGGACATGCTCTGCCATGGATGGGGTCCTGGGGACATGCCACCCCATGGATGGGGTCTTGACACCATGGAGGATATGGGTCAAGAACTGGCTGTTCTTGGTGTCCGGCCCCGCGTTAGCCATGGCCAAGATGCCAGCACCTGGGATGGAGGGATGGACACCATCAGTGGGGTGATCTGATGGGGGTTTGAAGGGGTTCAAGGGGCTCTGAGTTGATGTCATGGGAGATATGGCAGGTAATGATGGGGTTTTGGGGGACACACCAACCCATGGCCAAGGTTCCAGCATCATGGAGGACGTGGTACCATGTGAGTTGGGTCTTGGGGACATGCTCTGCCATGGATGGGGTCTTGAGGGAGATGACACACCATGGCCAAAGTCCTGGCATCATGGAAGACATGGCACCCCATGAATGAGATCTTAGGGGACATGGTGACCCATGGATGGGGTCCTGGCATCATGGAGGATTGATGGATGGAGGGATGGACACCATAAATGTGTTGATCTGATGGGGGTTTGAAGGGGTTCAAGGGGCTCTGAGTTGATGTCATGGGAGATATGGCAGGTAATGATGGGGTTTTGGGGGACACATCAACCCATGGCCAAGGTTCCAGCATCACGGAGGACATGGTACCATGTGAGTTGGGTCTTGGGGACATGCTCTGCCATGGATGGGGTCCTGGGGACATGGAGGATATGGGGCAAGAACTGGCTGCTCTTTGGGTCTTGCCCCACGTTGGCCCTTGGCATGGCCAAAGTCCTGGCATCATGGAAGACATGGCACCCCATGAATGAGATCTTAGGGGACATGGTGACCCATGGATGGGGTCCTGGCATCATGGAGGATTGATGGATGGAGGGATGGACACCATAAATGTGTTGATCTGATGGGGGTTTGAAGGGGTTCAAGGGGCTCTGAGTTGATGTCATGGGAGATATGGCAGGTAATGATGGGGTTTTGGGGGACACACCAACCCATGGCCCAGGTTCCAGCATCATGGAGGACGTGGCATCATGTGGGCTGGGTCTGGGATCTGTCCACAGGGAAATGCTACCCCATGGCTGGGATCCTGGGGGACACGTCACCCCGTGGAGGGGGTCTTGGGGGAAACAAGGGATGTGCCAACCCATGGCCAAGGCTCCAGCCCCACGGGGGACACAGCCCCACGGGGGACACAGCCCCACGTGGAGGGGGTGTTGAGGGACACGTTGCCATGGAGGGGGTGCTGGGGGACGTCACACACTGGGGATGAGGTCTCAGGAGACGTGGAGGACATGTCACCTTGTGGATGGGCTACTGGGGGACATGCCACCCCAGGGGAGGGCTCCTGGGGGACACGGGGACACTGCCACCGGGGGTCACATACTGGGGCGTGTTTCCAGTACAGCTCCAGCACCAGCGGGCCCATACTGGGGGCACAGGTACGGGGGGGTCACATACTGGGGCGTGTTTCCAGTACAGCTCCAGCACCAGCGGGCCCATACTGGGGGCACAGGTACGGGGGGGTCACATACTGGGGCGTGTTTCCAGTACAGCTCCAGCACCAGCGGGCCCATACTGGGGGCACAGGTACGGGGGGGTCACATACTGGGGCGTGTTTCCAGTACAGCTCCAGCACCAGCGGGCCCATACTGGGGGCACAGGTACGGGGGGGTCACATACTGGGGCGTGTTTCCAGTACAGCTCCAGCACCAGCGGGCCCATACTGGGGGCACAGGTACGGGGGGGTCACATACTGGGGCGTGTTTCCAGTACAGCTCCAGCACCAGCGGGCCCATACTGGGGGCACAGGTACGGGGGGGTCACATACTGGGGCGTGTTTCCAGTACAGCTCCAGCACCAGCGGGCCCATACTGGGGGCACAGGTACGGGGGGGTCACATACTGGGGCGTGTTTCCAGTACAGCTCCAGCACCAGCGGGCCCATACTGGGGGCACAGGTACGGGGGGGTCACATACTGGGGCGTGTTTCCAGTACAGCTCCAGCACCAGCGGGCCCATACTGGGGGCACAGGTACGGGGGGGTCACATACTGGGGCGTGTTTCCAGTACAGCTCCAGCACCAGCGGGCCCATACTGGGGGCACAGGTACGGGGGGGTCACATACTGGGGCGTGTTTCCAGTACAGCTCCAGCACCAGCGGGCCCATACTGGGGGCACAGGTACGGGGGGGTCACATACTGGGGCGTGTTTCCAGTACAGCTCCAGCACCAGCGGGCCCATACTGGGGGCACAGGTACGGGGGGGTCACATACTGGGGCGTGTTTCCAGTACAGCTCCAGCACCAGCGGGCCCATACTGGGGGCACAGGTACGGGGGGGTCACATACTGGGGCGTGTTTCCAGTACAGCTCCAGCACCAGCGGGCCCATACTGGGGGCACAGGTACGGGGGGGTCACATACTGGGGCGTGTTTCCAGTACAGCTCCAGCACCAGCGGGCCCATACTGGGGGCACAGGTACGGGGGGGTCACATACTGGGGCGTGTTTCCAGTACAGCTCCAGCACCAGCGGGCCCATACTGGGGGCACAGGTACGGGGGGGTCACATACTGGGGCGTGTTTCCAGTACAGCTCCAGCACCAGCGGGCCCATACTGGGGGCACAGGTACGGGGGGGTCACATACTGGGGCGTGTTTCCAGTACAGCTCCAGCACCAGCGGGCCCATACTGGGGGCACAGGTACGGGGGGGTCACATACTGGGGCGTGTTTCCAGTACAGCTCCAGCACCAGCGGGCCCATACTGGGGGCACAGGTACGGGGGGGTCACATACTGGGGCGTGTTTCCAGTACAGCTCCAGCACCAGCGGGCCCATACTGGGGGCACAGGTACGGGGGGGTCACATACTGGGGCGTGTTTCCAGTACAGCTCCAGCACCAGCGGGCCCATACTGGGGGCACAGGTACGGGGGGGTCACATACTGGGGCGTGTTTCCAGTACAGCTCCAGCACCAGCGGGCCCATACTGGGGGCACAGGTACGGGGGGGTCACATACTGGGGCGTGTTTCCAGTACAGCTCCAGCACCAGCGGGCCCATACTGGGGGCACAGGTACGGGGGGGTCACATACTGGGGCGTGTTTCCAGTACAGCTCCAGCACCAGCGGGCCCATACTGGGGGCACAGGTACGGGGGGGTCACATACTGGGGCGTGTTTCCAGTACAGCTCCAGCACCAGCGGGCCCATACTGGGGGCACAGGTACGGGGGGGTCACATACTGGGGCGTGTTTCCAGTACAGCTCCAGCACCAGCGGGCCCATACTGGGGGCACAGGTACGGGGGGGTCACATACTGGGGCGTGTTTCCAGTACAGCTCCAGCACCAGCGGGCCCATACTGGGGGCACAGGTACGGGGGGGTCACATACTGGGGCGTGTTTCCAGTACAGCTCCAGCACCAGCGGGCCCATACTGGGGGCACAGGTACGGGGGGGTCACATACTGGGGCGTGTTTCCAGTACAGCTCCAGCACCAGCGGGCCCATACTGGGGGCACAGGTACGGGGGGGTCACATACTGGGGCGTGTTTCCAGTACAGCTCCAGCACCAGCGGGCCCATACTGGGGGCACAGGTACGGGGGGGTCACATACTGGGGCGTGTTTCCAGTACAGCTCCAGCACCAGCGGGCCCATACTGGGGGCACAGGTACGGGGGGGTCACATACTGGGGCGTGTTTCCAGTACAGCTCCAGCACCAGCGGGCCCATACTGGGGGCACAGGTACGGGGGGGTCACATACTGGGGCGTGTTTCCAGTACAGCTCCAGCACCAGCGGGCCCATACTGGGGGCACAGGTACGGGGGGGTCACATACTGGGGCGTGTTTCCAGTACAGCTCCAGCACCAGCGGGCCCATACTGGGGGCACAGGTACGGGGGGGTCACATACTGGGGCGTGTTTCCAGTACAGCTCCAGCACCAGCGGGCCCATACTGGGGGCACAGGTACGGGGGGGTCACATACTGGGGCGTGTTTCCAGTACAGCTCCAGCACCAGCGGGCCCATACTGGGGGCACAGGTACGGGGGGGTCACATACTGGGGCGTGTTTCCAGTACAGCTCCAGCACCAGCGGGCCCATACTGGGGGCACAGGTACGGGGGGGTCACATACTGGGGCGTGTTTCCAGTACAGCTCCAGCACCAGCGGGCCCATACTGGGGGCACAGGTACGGGGGGGTCACATACTGGGGCGTGTTTCCAGTACAGCTCCAGCACCAGCGGGCCCATACTGGGGGCACAGGTACGGGGGGGTCACATACTGGGGCGTGTTTCCAGTACAGCTCCAGCACCAGCGGGCCCATACTGGGGGCACAGGTACGGGGGGGTCACATACTGGGGCGTGTTTCCAGTACAGCTCCAGCACCAGCGGGCCCATACTGGGGGCACAGGTACGGGGGGGTCACATACTGGGGCGTGTTTCCAGTACAGCTCCAGCACCAGCGGGCCCATACTGGGGGCACAGGTACGGGGGGGTCACATACTGGGGCGTGTTTCCAGTACAGCTCCAGCACCAGCGGGCCCATACTGGGGGCACAGGTACGGGGGGGTCACATACTGGGGCGTGTTTCCAGTACAGCTCCAGCACCAGCGGGCCCATACTGGGGGCACAGGTACGGGGGGGTCACATACTGGGGCGTGTTTCCAGTACAGCTCCAGCACCAGCGGGCCCATACTGGGGGCACAGGTACGGGGGGGTCACATACTGGGGCGTGTTTCCAGTACAGCTCCAGCACCAGCGGGCCCATACTGGGGGCACAGGTACGGGGGGGTCACATACTGGGGCGTGTTTCCAGTACAGCTCCAGCACCAGCGGGCCCATACTGGGGGCACAGGTACGGGGGGGTCACATACTGGGGCGTGTTTCCAGTACAGCTCCAGCACCAGCGGGCCCATACTGGGGGCACAGGTACGGGGGGGTCACATACTGGGGCGTGTTTCCAGTACAGCTCCAGCACCAGCGGGCCCATACTGGGGGCACAGGTACGGGGGGGTCACATACTGGGGCGTGTTTCCAGTACAGCTCCAGCACCAGCGGGCCCATACTGGGGGCACAGGTACGGGGGGGTCACATACTGGGGCGTGTTTCCAGTACAGCTCCAGCACCAGCGGGCCCATACTGGGGGCACAGGTACGGGGGGGTCACATA